CCGAACCTCTACCATCATGCGTATAGCAATAATATTTTTTATATTATTTATACATATATTTTATAATGTATTTTTATTGCTATTTTCAATATTTTTGACATAATCTTTTCTCGTTTATCGCCGTGTAGTATGAGTTATTATTTTCAATGAATTTTTTATGGAATACGTCCTAAATTCTGTTTTTTTATAATCGGGGGCCCCGCATTGCTATTCGTCCCTGGCGTCTCGCATGTAGCCGCTAGAAATGGCCGCTAGCTTCAGCGTCATGCAACATCGATCAATTTAATATATACGAGTGTCTTCTACGACTTATATACATTTGACAATCCCAAATTATCGAACTGACAATCCGGTATTACCGTAATCATATTGATTACCCATGTCACTTTCTACTTCATGCAAAACCGTATAAAATAAGGGGAGCTAAGTCGCGATGGTACATTGCAAAATAACCCGTACGATATGAATTCGGAAATGGAAAAATACTATGCCATCAATAAATTATTTTTGTCACGAATCGGTGCTTGGCCGTATCAGGGTACTGAAAGTGTTCTTACCATGTTTCTTATCAACGTTGTATTATTTTTCCTTCGTAACTCAGGTAACATGTCGTATTAATTTCAAGTATAGTAGTGCAGATTTTTAAAGTGAATTTAATTCTCTCCTTATATTAACAAATATATTTGTCACTTTAATATTGCCTGCATCGTTGTTGATTTTTAGATACTTCTAATATACGATACTTGGGGTGATATGGATGTTACAATTGAAGTTATAAGTAATATTATTATTATTTTTGCTGCTAGTACAAAGTTGATTAATATCGTGAATAATCACAAAGTAAGTATTATTACCTTACTCTCCTATCCTCTACATCGTACTTCCAAGTTCCAAGCTGCATTCTCTTATATTGCTGTAAAACATTTCAACTCTCTATCCCTCAATATTCGTTCTGCTACTTCTTTTGTTATTTTTAAGTCTACTGTCTCTCGGCACATTGTGTCTGCTGTAAATTGATTGCGAACTTTGTATAAATCTTTGTGTAAATCTGTTTCTCCTATTTTTTAATTATATTAATGAGCTGTAAATATTTTCGCGTATATTATTATCTATTACATTTATTGTTTTACATATTTCACTTTCTAATGTAATTTTGAGTTCACTTTACTTCTTTGCTGTATTCTTACTTGTAATTCTTCATCTCATTGTAATTTTCTGTTTAACATGCGTCTTTAGTTCTTATTCTTTTCTAAACTATGTTCAGGGTCTAGGTTTTTAGGCAACGTTATGCTGTTTCTTCGCCCTTTGACGATACTTTGCTAATTAGTGTCTTTTATCTCATTCCTTTGTAATAGTTTGTACTGCACATCAATAAAGTTATTATTATTATTATTGTTATACAAATCAATATCGGTAATGAGTATTCACTTATCATCATGTTTTTGCATTGTTGATCAGTTCCGACGGTTATTGCAACTTATGTGCAAACACTGGGAGCTTTTTAATAGCGAATTCGAACGTCATATCATGAGATATTATGCTAGTATCGGCCAAAAAGTGACAAAGTACTTTGCAGGTACAGGAATAAACAATTTTTGAATCTTTACAGACAAATCATGATGTGTCAAAGACTATTGTAATCGCAAAAATCTTATGTTCAATTTTTTTAATGTAAATATTATATAAAAAGAGCCTTTTTTAATTAAAATTAATTTTTGATAGTTTGAAATTCCACGTATTTTTACAAAATATTTATGGAATTATAAAACAATGATGTTGAAAAAGAAGTCTTTTAATATTTGCAGATAATTACAGATAATAAATCATATGTATGTTCCTTTTGCAGTATATTTTATCATCCTAACAATATTTTATTTGCTAATTCCAATGATACCAAGAATCTTGGATGTCGTAAAACCGCTGAACGAGTCGCGGCCATTGGTATACGTATATGCGGCTGAATACAGAGTAGAGACAAAGAAAAATATTATTATCCAATCTTATTCTATTGTTACACTATGAGTTTAACTACCATAATTCTGTTCACCGTCGATGCTACATATATAATGTGTGTGTTGCATGCTTGAAGTTTATTTATAGCTGTCAGGTGAATAAAATTAAAATAAGATATCACACTTATATTTTTACAAACAAGTGTTTCTAAACAATTTTACTTATTTTTGGATGAAAGTCAAAATCACATCAATCAAAATTATATACTAATTAACAATATTTCATTTCAAAGCCATCGTCTTGAAAATATTACTGGTGAAGCAGAAACTAAATCAGACGACAATAAAAAAAAATATATAGGAAGGCATTATCATCTATTGATGAAGGAACACGGTTCTACTGGCAATGATTATCGTGAATTGATGATATGCTTGAAAAGACATCAACTTGCATTAGAGTTTGTACTACGTACATTTTTGTTGTCCATAATAACAATCTACTTGATAATAATAATGGTCTACTCGATAACAATAATAGTCTACTCGATAACAATAATAGTCTATTCGATAATAATAACACTTGATATTACGATATTCACTAATCACTCAATCGTTTATATTAAATTATTTTATCCGATCTTTCTCTTTTTTTAGACATGTCCAAATGCTAAATTCCACATTCACTCAAGCAACATTCATTCTTCTATCTCTGAATATGCTGATTCTGAGTGTGATCGGAATACAGGTGTGTATTTTAAGGAGTACGTATATCTCTATTGAAAAATGTATTGTATAATACGATACTTAAATTTTGCAGCTTATCAATAACCTGGAGTACATCAACGAGATAATAAGATCCGCTTTTATAATTTGCGCTGTGCTTATCTCGTAGGTATGTGTATTCCCGGACAATTGTTGATAGATCGAAGCACAGAAGTTTTCGATAAGGCGTAAGTATTAAGGGGATGCTAAAGTCGTCCTACTTTACCATCATTTCCATTTGGTGAAAAATCTTCGAATTGGATTTATGGATTGTAAAATTATTATTACAGAATTAAAGTACGCACAAACAGGACCTCAGTTACACTGGATTTCATGAAAAAATTGGAAAAAAGTTAAAAAATTCACTTACTTTTGGCTCGTACAGCTGTCACTTTAAGTATATATTTACTTGATATAAGAGAGTTTTATAATCCATATCTTGAAAATAAGCGTGCAGCTAAGGTCACATTACTGGAACGAACGAGTTTGTAGAACTAAGATTGAAAGTCTAGAAGAAAAATATTTTCACCAAATGGAAAATACGTGCATACGGATTTCAGATACTTAAATAAAATATTACCAAAAAGGTTTCAGCTATTTCTCTAGTATTACAAAAATGATATTTAAATAGATATTTAAATAATATTTAAATTTATTATGTCGACATAATAAATTTAAATGTTGTTTAAGTATCAATTAAACATATATTCTATCATTTCTGAAGTACTTAAAGCTTATTAAGAGTTTTGTAATCTGTTTACAGATTGAAATAAACTTAAAGTATTTCTCAAAAACAGTAATTATATCGCCACAATTTTTAAAAAGATGCCACAATCCTATTTATCGATAGTATCCAATTTTTTATACGATTAAAATAATTTTTTTGTTAATTGTAAGATTTAATTTAAATCATAACGTCAATTAATGTTAAAATTAATGCCAATTAATATTAAAATCCATAAATTTATACGTAAAAGAAATTTTTGAATCTAGTGAAAACAGTGAATCTATTAACGACGATGCTCTTGGTGCTTTTTAACATTATGTAAAATTATCACGTATATAATTACAAATGACTTACATTTACATTGTTGATAAAAGAATCGATCAATTTCATCATGCATTTTATGTTAGGTACGATTCAGCATGGTATATATTTTCCATAAAAATTAGAAGATTATTAAGAATACTTCTTTATAGAAGTCCCTTTCCATGTACACTCACGGCTGGAAAGATGTTTGTTCTGTCTATGACTATGTGCAGTTCGGTTCTAATTTATATATATATATATATAAAAAAAATAAAATAATTAAAATAATAAATTAAATATATTTTTTTCTTTTTTCGTGATTTCCTGCGAAACAAAGCAAAAAGGAGCATATGTCTATAGGACTTTTTTTCTTAGTTTTTTACTCCTCTACACGCTCCCGAAGTTTTGCCATTTAATTTGGAAACACCCTGTATATACTTAGAAAAAGTATCTTTTATAATTCTATATATATAACATTGTAATAGATTGACATTCAATTTTAAGGTGATGCAAACTGCTATGTCATATTTCATGACCTTTTTATCCATGAGATAGGGATGCTATTGCAAATTATATTATATGTGTATCTTCACAAAATTATTGTATTTAAAAAAGTCATGAGTAGTCACATTGTGTTTTACAAAGGAAGGTGATTTAATCATTATAATAAAGCGACGTATCTCACATCAGAAATAATATGAATATATGTACGTATCTTATTTCCAATGTCTCGCGAAAAAAAGAGATAAAGGATATTTTTTACTAACAAAAATTATAAACAATTTTGTAATTTCTCCGTGTTCAGATCCATTCTTGGAATGCCAACGTTTCGTGAACCTTGCAGTTCACTTCATCAGGGCGAGGAGCAGCCTGATACTCGCCCTGATGAAGTGAACTGTAAGGTTCACGAAACGTTGGCATTCCAAGAATGGATCTGAACACGGAGAAAACCCGCGAAACGCAAGATTGTCACATAGGTAACACCCGTGAAAGCCTCAAGAATATAATTTTTAAATTATATAGATATATTTATTCGCATATGCGTATCCAGTATTTTTTTGCTCTATAGACTAAGATTCATAACTTTAATGTTTCACATGTAATTCATGATTTTAATGTTTTACATAATTTTCCCTCATGCAACCGAAGATCCGTAACGACACAAAAGTGGTATCCCCTTCATGGATCGATTAAATAACCACCTTTCACTGTGAACGTTTTCAAATGTTTCACGACTTCCCGGAATTATCATTAAAATATTCAATATATTATTTTTATTGCCCGCACGATCTATTTTCCTAGAATTAAATATTGTATTTGACAAGAGTAATGAGCAAATGTTTTTACTTAAACATATACAATAGATTAATATACTGCTTCAGAAATAAATTTTTTTGCTAATCCAAAAAAGTTATAAAATCATGGAGATCCATAAAATACCTTGAGAAAAAATGAGCTATTTTTGTTTCCTATTTGATTAACAATGAACATTCACAAAACCGTTAAAACCTTGTTTTAAAAAATATACTCAGTGATACATAGTGTGACAGTAACATCAATAGAGGACACAATGTTTATAAAAATCAAATTGTTTAACATTGCTGTTGTAAAAGATATATTTGTAATTTTACAATAAATTTAAATACTAAACTAAGAATATCTTTTATCTAAACTTGTACGTTTATAGTGACAACGTCCAGTTTTATGAAGAGACAAAAGACATTCGACACGTTAATCGATACGGTCTTAGTCATGCACTTCGTGGCACCGAGAATATGAAATAATAATACGAGGTGTCTTCAAAGCTTTAAAGCATACAGCGACAATATTACAAATTCCATTTATTCGTACATTTCGTTTTTTCTTCAGCTGTAATACTATATTGATATTGCCACCACACTGCGTACCTTTAATATATTTCCCATAACGAGGTTTTAACGGAATACTAAAAAAGGTGCTGAGAAAAAAAGAAGAGAGAATGAGAGAGAGAGAGAGAGAGAGAGAAAGAAAGGACGAGAGAAGAGAGAGAGAGAGAGAGATCATGTGAGAAGGATACTGCTATAGCGAGAAGAATATTTACGGATTCTTATTCAGTACAGCAAAACCATGGATTTCTTTGACACGCGCTATTTTAGGATTAACAAGTTCTTCCTGTCTTTCATCGGTCTGTGGCCATATCAAACACCCTTCGTAAAGCTTCTAACTCAGTCGTTCGCCATATTTGGCGTTACAATAATGTGTGCGCCGCAGGTAGTTCATTGGATGATACATTAATAATATTGTTCTCTAAAATCTTTGGAGTAAAATGTATTTCCAAAGAGTGAAACCTTACTCTTAAAAATTGCCAATTAAGCCACTCTTTTTCAACAAAATGGCTCAATTGTCATTCTTTGTCACTCTTTAGAATTAGATCCCACTTCAAAGATTTTAGAGAATAGAGTTGACAAATTTAAAGAAAATATATAAATTAAGTTGTATATAAAAAAAAAGTTTGTCTGACAATATACTAATTTAAATAATAGTTATACTCTTTGTGTGTCACAGAAACAATTGTTTAAACGCGAGTTTATATTTTACTCGAATATTATGTGAAATATAATCAACGCACCATATATTCATTATATTATTAGATCGCATATATGTTCAAGCATGTGGATGATTTCGATAACATGTTCGAGCTCATGCCAATTTTAGCTGGCACAGTGATATGTATTGCAAAAATCATCAGTCTGACTTGCAATTCCGAAATGGTAAGTATGATTATCGCATCGCATCGGCTTGTTTTGAACGAACGTCGCTTCAGTTTAAAGGGCTTCTACAACATATGCAAGATGACTGGAACAATCTATTGACCAGTGAGGAAACGCAAATTTTAACGCATTATGCTGAAAAAAGTCGAAAGCTCATGTTGGCGTATTCAAGTATGAAATCAATTTCGCACCGGCAAATATCGGATTTATTTGAATTAAGTATTAACAATAGAAGGTTCGATATCCTTGATAAATTGAAAAATATATAATAAATTAATAAATATCTTAAACACACGTATAGTTTAATTAAATATTAAAGTATAAAGACGAGAAATGAAAAAGAAACTCAAAAATAACAAATAAATAATCGCTAACTTTAATAAATTTATAATTATGAATTAAAATAAGTATTTGTTTTATTAAATTAAAATATTTATTCGTTTTGCGCGTCTTAATTTTTGTTAAGAAAAAAACAAAAGGAGTATTTTATTCCTTTTTCTTTATGCAGTTAGTGTAATCGGATTTGTATTCTGCTACGCTTTGCTACCTCTCACCGGACCTGTATTTGACATAATCTTACCCCTGAATGAAACGAGACCGAGAAAACTACCACATCTCGCAGATTTTGTTATTTTCGATCAAGAGAAATATTATTACGCACTTTTGCTGATCTTGTATGTTGGTTATGTTGTGTGTGTCTCGATCGCGGTAGCTGCCGACATTTTGTACATTTTCCTAGTGGAGCACATTTGCGGAATGTATGGCATACTGTGGTGAGAATTGCTTAAAATCAAATCTGATTAACAATTAGTTAATTAAAATAATTATTTGGTTAATATAATCATGTACAGAGAAAAAAGATATAATTAAGATATAGTTTAGGTCACAAAGGTGTGCTCGCTCTATGAGCAGAAGTTTTATACTTTTGATACATCATTCAAAAATTATTGGACCTTGTGTCTATGATGTATTTTGTTCATTACATTACAGATTACATTATATATGTGAAAATTAACTCGTTTCACCGAGACCCACTTTTCCATGTAATTAGTAAATCTCACACTAATTAGAAAAAAAATTGGATCTCAGTGAAATGAATCAGTTCTCACATATAATGTAGTTGGAATCCAATTTTCCGTATAATTAGTGCGGGGTCCTTTTATTGATCATTATATGGACAGCAGATCGCAGAAAGATTGGTAAAAAGATCAATTTCATTCGCTGAAAAATAGCTTCTCGTTCCAGCAATCAATTTATTCTATTTTTTTTCTTTCTATTTTCTCTAATTTATTCTCATATTTTACCGGCAATAATTTTGTTGTAACAGTAAAATACATTTGCTGGATTGTTTGTCAATAGCAAATTAATATATTCCTATAAACAAATTTATGCGGCAAAATCTTTTTATTTTGCTAGCAAAGCAGATACTATAGTAACATCAATGTGACAAAATTTGTATGTATATTTAATATTCTCATGTTAAACACATAATAGAACACGATTATTGCAATAAATTATTTTTTTCGTGTAAAATTCGCTCGTAGAGAATAAATTGTGAATTAGGAATTATGCATAAAAATTAGGAATTTTTTTTATGTATAAAAATAGATAATTATATATATTTATTGTAGTCATCGCCTGAGGAATTTAATAGCACACGATGATTTACAATGGATAGACGGTGATTACATTCACGAGGAAATCGGTCGATATGTTCGACGTTGCATTCAACTACATGAAAGAATAAGATTGTTGGTATAACAATTATTTTAGGAATAGCACAGGGTAGAGCGAGACTATTCCGTTAGTTTCAACTTTAAAGTAATATAAAAATTTACGATGGCAAATAATATCTCTTTGTAATGAAGTGCTTACAATTATACTATATAATCACGATTGCTGCTTGATAAACACAACCTTTAAATATTCAATATGTGCTCAGAAACATAAATGAGAAATGAACGAAAAACTCCCTCTCTACTCTACACTGAAAAAAATGCATGTAATTTTACATGGAAATTACATATTTATTATTGGAAAATTATCTAAATTACTTAAATATGATTGGAAATTACTGGAAATTGTAAATTTCTAATCATATTTAAGTAATTTTCCAGTCATGAACATGTAATTTTCATGCAAAATTACATGTATTTTTTTCAATGTATATTCATATATTTTACTTACCTATATCTAATTCAAACATGTCCGCATCTATTACTAAAATTTCACTTAGATCTTGATGATATTTATCGATCCAGATTCATAGAAATGATGGAATCTACAATTTCGTTGTTTCTCTTTTTCGATGTTGGATTAGGATTTTTATTACATACTTCTTCATGCATAATGGTGAGCATAATTCTCTAAAATCTTCGGAGTGGAATCTCATTCTAAAGAGTGACAAAGAGTGACAATTGAGTCATGTCAATGTTGAAAACAATTGGTTTAATTGTCAATTTTTAAGAGTGAGATCTCTTAAAATTTACTCTTTAAAATTAGATCTAAAAATTTTAAAGAGAATAATACTTAAATTTTGGAATTTAAGCCTAAATGGCAATATAATGTAAATATTATATATTATCTTTTTATTGTTAATTATTGTTGGAAATATTTTCAAGCCAAACGATATTTTTTGCAGATCATAGTTCGAATGGGATCGTCTGAAATTATGCGATACGTAGCTCTTATGCTAATGCAAAGTTGCCGATTATTTTTCAATAGTTGGGCCGGACAAGAAGTGACCGATCATAGTGTCGAAGTCTCGATAGCAGCGTAAGATAAAACTATTCAGAATTCACAAGAAATATTCTTTCTTGGTATATCTTTTTACAGTTATGATGGAATATGGTATAATGCTTCCGTAAAGGTGCAAAAATTATTGTTGTTTCTAATCGTGAGGAGTCAGAAAGCCTCCCAAATAACAATCGCTAAGTTATATGTCATCAATCTGGAAGGTTTCAGTAAGGTACGAACGCGGAAATATATCGCGTGTTATAATATAGAAACACTTAGCATATCCGTGCATTTTGCTAACAGAAAAAAATATGTTGTATACATAATAAATATTTTTTAAGGTAATGAGAACATCGGTTTCCTATTGCACGGTATTGATTTCACTACGCTAACCATCAAAAAGTGCATAGATTTCTGCAAGATTTTCCACTCGCGTATATTTTCTAGTCTTTCGTATGCCAACAACTCAGGTGTTAATGTATGAAGGTATATCATGTCTGTAATAAACGCAAATATCGATTTGTATAAAGTAATAAATAATTACGCTCGTATTAATGCTATCTATCAAACGAATATATTGTGTAAGCATTGCGGAAACGCTTATGGTTTATCCAATTCACTTTATTCATTTGTATTGTACATTTATTACGCTATAATATATGGTACCCTTATCAAATGTTAAAGTTTTTTTTCTATCGTGGAAGGAATATCTGTTATCATAAATTCTCTCTATTTAGTTCCTTGGACGTTAAAAACTATTTCATCATATACACGGATCTAGCAGAATATTTAAACTGTAGCTATAGACCGAATGGCAAAGAGTAATACCCGCCTTTTTAACGGCGAATATGAATGCAATACGAACGCGAGTGTCAAAGCACGAACATGAATGTCTTTGATGCGGAATATTTTAAAATTAATAAACTCCTCCTGTCGATCCCAGGATTATGGCCGTATCAAACAACTTTTACAAGAACTTTGAAGATAACGTTCTCCACAATTGGTGTCATAGTTATGTGTGCGCCTATGGTAGCTATTGAATCAGTACCTATAATATATTATATGTAGTGAAGTTATAAATAAATATATTGTATGACATTTTCAAATTACTAAATATATACGAAACGTTATACGCATATAAGTACAATTAAATTTACAACATGAATAATTAAGAAATAAATATAGATATAAAATGTTATGTAAGAATATGATTTTTTTCGCGTTATATTGATATATTTTTAATTACCAAATAATTAGTTTAATCCGTATCTTAAAATAACATTAAAATAATATTATAAAATATATATGAAGTGAATTACAATTACATTTAATATAATTTTGTGCTAAATGAAGTAATCATTAAAATATCGTGATCAAATAATTGTTCAGTTTTTGTTCATATTCAAACACTCGAATGATCTGGATCATATAATCGAACTCATACCTACGATGTGCGGTGGAGTATCGTGTGGAGCAAAATTTACTAGTATAGTTTATCACTTCGAAAAGGTAAGCATCTTTCCGAATATTGCAACTGCACATCGTATAGCTATAAATCTTGATTCAAATGATACGTTTTCTTACAATTAGTTTAAAGATTTGCTCCAACAATTTCATGACGATTGGACGAATGTCTCGAAGAAAACGGAACAAATTTTTAGAAAGTATATGGAAGTATCGTGGAGATTTACATCGATATATACAGGTGCGATAAATCGATCAATGGTGAGTTATTTACATGGAAAGAACGATTTTGTTGAGTATTTAATCCTTTATGACTCAGACACCGATTCCGTTTGAAACCTTTTTCTTTATATTTTTATAATATGATCTTTAAAAATACTTATTCTGATGAAGAATTTTATAAATTGAATAAAATTGATCATCAAGAAATACGATTTTCTGAATACGTACATAATTATAAACTATAAATATATACTATAATTATATACTATAATTATATACTATATAGTTGCATGTTTATACAGGAGATATTGGGATATCAAACTTTTTGACACCGCTCGTGAGTAGGTAGAGCGGACTAAACTGAATCGAAAAATCCTCTATCATTTTGCAATTTTCACAATTTCTTTTTTAATTACCTAATGAGTGGAATATCTAAAATCGATGCATAAAACGACTGTGAAATACATATCTTTAAGAATTCTTTAAAAAATATCTTTGAGATATTTCATAAGAACTGTGAAAGTTCTTAAAATTTTAAAGTTGTTCTATACGTCGATTTTACCCCCTTATTCGACAATCTTTAAAAATTAATATCTCGTTAACTATTGTGAAAATTGCAAAATAGTAAAGAACTTTTTGACTCAATTTAGTCCAATCTAGCTATCTCATAAATGATGTACCAAAAAGTTTGGAACACCCTGTATATGTGCTCCAGCTATAAAATTGAATACTACGTTATTTATCATAATAATAAATATGAAGAATCAATCTTGTATTTTAATATGATATATATAAAAAAATTAAAAAATTACTATCCAGTGAACACAAAGTCACATGTAACGTACCTATTAGTTGTAATTTCCCACTCAACAATATAACCATAATATAACAGGTGTTATTTTACAGTTATATTGTTAAGTGCAGGGAAATTACAACTAACCGATACGTTAGACTGCTGATTCAATGTGATAAAAAGAAATGAACCTTCATTCAGATTCAGAGCTGCCTTTGTTTCAGTTTACATATGTGTATACAGGGTGTTTCCAAATTAAATGGCAAAACTTCGGGAGCGTGTAGAGGAGTAAAAAACTAAGAAAAAAAGTCCTATAGACATATGCTCCTTTTTGCTTTGTTTCGCAGGAAATCACGAAAAAAGAAAAAAATATATTTAATTTATTATTTTAATTATTTTATTTATAAACTTTTTAATGAAGATTTTGTTCGAAATGTGCACCTCTTGCAGCAATACAAGCATTGCATCTGTCAAACACGGCTCTTGTAGCAGCCAGGCACTGTTCTTGCGATATTCTGTTCGCTGCAGCTACGATACGATTTCTCAAATGTTGCTCTAGAAATCGTCGTGCATATTCTCGCACCGCCTTTAAAGCATTACCGTTGCAGAAACCGTATACAAAAACCATATCAGCATATTCACTATTAGAATACGTACGCGGCATATTGCAAAAGACAAAATTCATCTACTGTTAAAGGCTTTCAAAGAGCGACTGACAAATTCATAACAGAAAGTGGAAAATGTAATCAAATATGTCGGTGCTAGATATGGCAAGAAATGTAAACATTTTTTTTCGATTTCTCTGAAACGGAGCAAAAACGAGCATATGTCTATAGGACTTTTTTTCTTAGTTTTTTACTCCTCTACACGCTCCCGAAGTTTTGCGATTTAATTTGGAAACACCCTGTATATGCATCCTGTCTGTGTATCCTGTCGCGTGAATTTATGTGAAAACACGACATTATTTATACATGTGGGAGTGAGTAAACATAAATATGGCGCTATCCAGCGTTATTTTCAAACATGAAGAAATCGGCAGTCCATTTATAGAAGTCTGTAGGAAAAACTCAAAATGAATGTACCTACATAATTATGTGTCTGGGTTCCTTTAAAGAGTTAAAAATTTAAATAAATACAGATTTAATAATTTTATTGGATTATCAAAATAATTATGTAGGAAACTCAAGTATGACGAACAATGCTGCAATAAGTTTTGACATTCTAATAACTAGTTTAAATGTCTTAAATAATTATTTTGTCCTACAAAATTATTTTCAGATTTGTATCTAGCTAATTTTTTAGTACTTTTTTAATACTTCAATAAAATCGTTCTTTGCGTGTATATGTCCGTACGTATACGTATCATTATTTATTGTAATTATTTATTGTAATGTTTAGTTTGGATGGCTGTGTTCGTGACCGGTTTTGCATTATTGCCGCTTATCAACCCACTACTCGATGTTGTATCACCGCTAAACGTAACGAGACCAAAAAAATTTATATATCCAGCCGAAATGTTGGTCGATCACGAAAAATATTACTACATTCTGCTCACAATCATGTATTATGGTTACTTCGTGGCTGAAGTGATTGTATTGGCAATTGATACAATCTATTTCGTCTTTATAGAACATGCTTGCGCATTGTTCGATCTCTTAAAGTACGAACTTTTTATAATTGAATAGAATTGAGTGTAGCATAAAGAGATCTCAAATTTTTCTTAAGATTTAGTTATTGCTTGTTATTAGAATAATTATACAATATACACTGAGAGAAATGATTTTGTTATAGGAACAAATCAAGGAAAAACAAATGTGATATTTGTTAAGAAAACGATCAATTAGTTATTATTGCAAATTAATTATTTGTCATTCGTCAATGTAATAAAGAATCAATAGTATCGCTAGCAAATAAAAGGTTCATATAATACATAGAAGTCGTAGACGATCGTAAGGTCTCAAATCATAAAAAATTGTCCAATTCTGATCAAGTATTCTCCCTATATTTGACTATTAGTCAGTTTCTTACGACTTAAGACCCCACGATCATCTGATTTCTATGACAAACGATCCTAAAGTCTATCCAAAAGATAGGTTAGGTTCTATATAGTGTGCTTCTATTACTAATAATTAGTTGGTATAGCAGACTAGTAGCAATCACAACAAATCAATTTTGTTGTCACATAAATATGATCACCTGTTAAGGTACTGGTGGCGCTTGTTAAATTAACAGAATCCTTTCTCTCTCTCTCTCTCTCTCTCTCTCTCTCTCTCTCTCTCTCTCTCAGTGTAATTGCAGTCTTTTAATTAATTAATTATATCACAGTCGATAGAGTTTTTTTGCCGACTAAGATACAATTATAAGTATTTTTTTAATATACCATATTTATAAATTAGTAAATAATAATTGAAAATACAAAACGGCTTAATAGAATTAATAATTCAAATATCTAATTAGTATAAGAGCTTTTTTGAGCCAACAACGCTAGATAACATCTAATCTAGCGTTGTTGGCTCAAAAAAGCTCTTTTACTAATTAGATATTTCAATTATTAGTAAATATATTTTACATTCCAGAGACAGCACAAAATATTTATGATAAAAAAAAATATATAAATAAATACTTTTAATAAATATTTTTTCTTGGATTATGTCTTATTAAATATTTTTATGGTATTTATTACTTAATGTACAATAAATATTTCATAACATTTATAATAAATATTTATGATTTATACAATCTAAGATCACAAAAAACATTTACAAAATATTAAAGATAAATCTCATAAATATTTTGTAAAAGTTTTATAAATATTGTGTGCTGTCTGAGATAGTTACCATTTGAAGAATATAGCCCAAGATCGGTCAAAGCAAGAAGTTCATCACGATTCTCCTTCGAAGCAAAACAACATTGTCCAGCATTTGATTCGATGTATCCTCTTGCACATAAAAATAAAAGCGTTAGTATAAATATCAAAATTCAAAAGTGTTATATTAAAATTAAAGGATTAATACAAAATTATATTAATTTAAGGTTCATAGAGCTAATCAACAGTACGTTCGCGATATTTCTATTTTTTGAGATCGGTCTAGGCTTCGTGATGCACTGTACTTTATGCACGACGGTAAAATTCTAAAATTAACAAAAATCAAGATAAAAATTCCAATCTAATCTATAAGGATAATATCTGACGTTATATCGCAGAGTGTACTTCAAATGAATAAGACAGTCGAAATTATGATATATGTCGCGCTGGTGATTTGCCAAACTACTCGCCTTTTTTATTATGGTTGGCAGGGCCAGCAAATAATGGATCGCAGTATCGATGTGTACATTTCTGCGTAAGTTATTGCAAATTTCATCTTCATTTATTTACATTTATATAAACTTAAACTTTCAGATATAACGGAGCGTGGTATGAGACAACAAACACAGTGAAAAAGATGTTCTTAATGCTAATCATGAAGAGTCAGATTATTAGTGAGATAAAGGTGGCGAAGTCCTTCGTGATGAATTTAGAAAACTTTACTACGGTAATAATATTATGAGCTCATTTTATGTCCTTCTAATTTACTTTTCCGAAAATAAAAAAATTGGATCGTGCAGACCATTCATATGTATCATAATTTATGTGTCATTAGGATTAAAAAGTATGACAATTAATTGTTATCAAAACGTCATGAAAATCCGCCAAAATAAATTCCTACAGATTCGAAAATAGTCTATGATAGTGTATGATCTTTATATATTACGTGTCATTACATTAAAACATTTTTGTTGCGCATACTACATCAAAATAATATGTAATACTTTTTGAAGATAATGAAAGCGTCACTCACATATTGCATGGTACTGTTGTCAATGCGTGAAGAATGAAGCAGCAAATAATCATCATGAATTTTACAGTTGGTAGTATGTCATACGTTATTAAATTTTAATAGAAAAATATAAATTTTAGTATGTATTTAGTGTGTTAAATATATAATACATTTATACTGATTTTTTATACAATATTTATTTTCATATTACAATAATCTAATAGATACTCTTATAATCATCTTTTGTATTTACAATAATAGAATTATCTTTTGATATTGTTTTAATTTGTTTAGACATGATTTTGTCAAATAAACAATCCATTACTGCACAACTATGTTTGCTGTAAATCAAATTATTGTTTTTAACTTTATAAATGATAATATTTTTTATTTCATAATAAAGAAATATATATCTAAAATAATTGACTTATGGCGACGGACTATGTGATGTGGAGTATAACTGCTGTCGTGTCTGTTTTATAAAAGCGAATATATTATGTAGAATTAAACGCTATCATTTCTTTATGTGTTGCTTTATGTAATGCTTTATACAATGTCAACGGCATGCGAAATTAAAATTGTAGGACTCCTCGCGTGTCGCTCGTTTGAGGGAGGCGTCTCCCCTCTCTCTCATTACTGATTCTATTTAATTCAACATATTATACGTATATTTCTTTGCAAACGCATCGACACCCCAAGAGAATATCAAATGAACCGTGCAGAGGATTGACAGAAACTTCACCTTCAGCTATTCAAGAATTCCGCTTCAACACGAATCAGTCAATAGAAATGGACGTTTTTGATACCCGATATTTTCGAGTTAACAAGCTGTTGTTGTTGTTTTTCGGCTTGTGGCCAATGCAATCAACGTCCAACAAAAAAAAACGTCTTTATTGTACATTATTTGGTATATTGATTCTATTACTACCGCAGGTACAAATTCTTGCACGCGGGTTAGAAAAAAAGCGTAAGAGAATCAATATTGAAATTTAATATAAATTTTTTGAAATTGTTAGCGATTTTTGCGCTATTCGAATTACTTTATAATGTTACATAAAAAGTTATAAATCCCACATTAAATACATATGATTTATTAATAGATTGCGTTCTTGTTCAAACGTATGAGACGTTTGAACGACTTTTACGATGTTCTACCTACTTTTCTTGGCACATGTATATGTCTCTTGAAAACAATTGGTCTTCAGTGGCAGACTGAAAAAGTAAGTATGCCGCAATGCATAATGTTATTTTTTGTCTAAGAAAAGTTGCCATGACTGCAGTTTAAGATGCTCATTCAGCATGTTTGTCACGATTGGTGCTTATTGGAGAAATACAACGATATTTGGATTTTGATGGAATATATGGAGAAAAGTCGGATGTTCACGCTGGTCTTCTTAAGTACACCTAACGATAAGTATACCTAATGATCATTTTTCTAAGCAATTATGCAAAGAAAGGCAATTCCTTTTATCAGTTTTTACACTCACGGGCGCAGCTAGTTTTGTGACAGCACCACTCACCGTACCCTTACTTGACAGTATACTGATGTTAAATATAACAAGATCAAAGCGAATGCCGCATCCGACGGAGTTCTTCTTGGATATGGAAAAGTATTATTATATTCTTTTGGCAATAACGATTGTAGGATACAGTGTATGCTGTACGGTAATAGTCGCAACCGACACCATCTATCTCGCCCTGTTGCAACATACCTGTGGTACACTAGCTATACTGAGGTCTTTTAACTTTGCTTTACTTTACTTATCGATTTATAAAAAATAAAATTTTACTCTTATGTATATGATTATATACTTACAGTTATCGTTTGAAAAAGTTGGCTGCACACGATAAATCGAAAAAATGTTTAGATCCCACATCTAAAGAGGATAGAGATGTTGAGAATATGGTGAATTGTATACAACTACAAATCAGAATAGAAAGGTTCTTATAAATTGAGCAAAGTTAAGGTCTATCGGAAAATATTACAAATATGATACGGATTTTTCTATCTCTATTTGTTACCAATAGACTAATCTACTTGATTGAGTCGACGTTCGCGACATGTCTTATCACCGACATTGGTTTAGGAATTCTACTTCAATGTACTGCGTGCGTAATGGTAATAAATAATAAATATTTTATATACAATTAATATCTATCTATTTAATGAACTATACTGGTCCACTAATATATATCATGAAGGAAAATGTTCTTTTTCGTATTGATTTAAAACGGGTTGCTAATATGGAATTTTGCAGATCGTGACTCGTACGGAATTGGTAAGAAATGGTCCACTTGTACTCATTCAATCTCTTCGATTCTTCTTCAATAGCTGGCTAGGACAGAAAATAATAGATCACAGTTCTCAAATTTCTGTTGCCGCGTAAGTTATTAATGTAATTAAGTAACGATGACTAATTTGAAAATTATAAAACTTTTAGATATAACGGAATGTGGTATCAAACGTGTTCGAAAGCAAAAAAGATGTTGTTATTTTTATTAATGAAATGTCAAAAACCATATCACATAACTATGGCGAAATTATATGTAATCTGCTTGGAAAGTTACGGCTCGGTATGATAAAATTCAGTATATGAATATTAGCTGCAAAAATAAGTAAATCTCAAATTTGTTTAAATAATTTATTTTTTAACAATGCCCAAAATATATAAAAATATTTTATTCAATTTTGCATACCCAAAATTATATATAAAAAATATACATTTTAATATTGCATTGTATTTTTAAGCTCATGAAAACATCCGCTTCCTACGTTACGGTAATGGTATCATTAAACTCGGACGACATATAATTATTTGTAATATGAAAATCTGTGGTTTGTGCTTGTTGACAAAAAGATAAATATAAATAAAAGTATTTTTGTTCTGATGTGTATTATCAAAAATTTTAACCTTTTATAATCTTTACAATATTATATTTCTTATTCTCATTTCTTAGTTAATTTTCAATTAAATTTCTATCTTAATAAATTTAATTAACGTAAAGGAGGCACGACAGTGTCGCTGCGCTTGGCTTAGCGCCGAGACACTATCGTGTCTCCAGATAATAGTTAATTTTAACTAACAAAAATATATTTCCATGGTTTGTTTACAAACTGTGTCAATATTATTTTTTTGTATTTATTCTCTTACATAATATTTGTCCAACCTTCTTACATATTCATCTTGTGTTAAATTAATTTAAAAATTTGAGTGTTGACCATTCGGGATTTGCAATATATGTTAAATTTGATACTTCTCCAATAGTGTAAGAAAAGTAGAAAAAATATAACTAAAAGTATTTAAAAGTTAGCTACAAATTATGCTTCAAATAACACTACACTATAGGAGCAAAATTCTTTATCGAATATAAAAATTTGTAGTGTATTAAAATTAATATGAATTTTCTAGAAAATTGTGGCACATAATAACTTCTTACCCCTAATTGAAAATTAAATTATTTAAACTTCTACAGTAAAAAGTTTTTACGATAATTTGATAAAATATTAATGTGTGGGTCAATAATGTAAAAAATATAATCTAAATAAGTAAAGTCAATATTAAATTTTAAGTTTAAAAAATGTCTAAATTTAATGTCTTATAAAACAGACTGACAGACAAAGAAGCAAAGAAAGAAAAAGAAAAGAGAGAAAGAAAAGAAAACTTATAGACATTCTTTCTCTTTCAAATTCTATCTGCAGCAGCATCGTGTATATTAAATATAATGCAAAAATGTTGAACTTGATAAAATTAATTACGCCAATATATAGACTGATTTTTTTGTTTGAATAAAATAAGACAGTTTTGCAATTTCAGCTTTGCAATTCTGCAGCAGTTTGAGTATATCTTGCTATCATTTATCTTATAGTTTTTCTCTTGATTTATAAAACGATGAATCACAATGTATAGTCGTAGTTATAGACCTCTTCTATCACAAAGAGAGTTTGTTAAGAGAAACGCGATTCATTACTCATTAATACGTGATTGCATGATACTGTGGAATACATCTCACTGCTTTTTCGTTGCGCTATTTTTCATTTTGAAAACCTCTTAAAGGAATATGAAAATACTATTTCAAAGGAATAAACTCTGTGATTAGACGTGAATATTCGACGAGATATCTGATCGTTTCGAACGATTACTTTTTGGTTTCTCAATGTCCTTCTTTGACAATCGCTACTATTACCTTAACAAAAGGTTTCTGGCCGTAATCGGCCAATGGCCATTTCAATCGCGACTAGAGGGTAACATGATGTTCACCGTAGCATGTTTGTTCATTGTCAGTTTGACAGCCTTGGAGGTGTTTAAAGAAACGCACAACAAGAAAACGTTAAAATTAGCACTGTTAATTTATTTCCGATTTTCGATAGTTTTGGGGCTTAGCAGCTGGGATAACAGATCTGAACATCATCATGGAAAACACTTCGCCGTTACTAGTGAATAGCTTCATCATTATAAAGATCCTTAATTGCATGTTTACTAATGACAAAGTTCGTATCTTTCAGCTGTATGAGAAGCTAATCGAATCATTCTGTGATTATATGTGATCTTTTCGAGCTACAGATGAAAAAATTTCTGGAGGATATCGAAGAGACATGGAAAATAAAACATACAGATGCGGAGAAAAAAATATTACAGCATTACGCAGAGGAAAGCAGAATTTTCACGATACGATACGCGTGTAAGTTACTTTTATTTTAAAATTTGTTCATTTTTTCTATCGGATACATATCTGGCAATATATGAGAAATTAATTCTAGCTCTTTACTCACTTTTTTACTTCGTTCTTGTTATGTTATTATTATTTGTACAAAATAATGCTTTTTTCCCTTCGTTTTTTTCGAAATGTTTTCAAGAGTATTATACAAGTAAAAATGTGTTTGTAATTTTTTTTTAATGTGCAGCCTACATTTTCGTTGATTTGTTAAACACTGAGAGAAAACAAAATAGTTCCAGCAACTATAAATTTGGCAACTTTTGCAATTGAAGTACCTGTAACTAGTTTTACAAAGTAATAGAAACTAAAGTAGTGCTGAATATTATAAAAATATAGTCACGGTAACAAATTGTATGCACTATTAATTGGTAGTGAAGTAGTGACTCAACTACATTGAGTAGTTACTTGGACTTCATGCAAATAGATATAACAATTACATTTTTCTAGTTTAGACAAAAATTTTTAAAGGGTCGCTCAGTACGAGTAGTACGCAGCTTTGTCACCAGAGGAACGTAATAGAGTTCAGTTTCTCCTAAGAAGGAAATTACTCGCTTACAATAAAAGACAGCGTTGGTTTCAAACTTAGAAGACAAAAATAAATAAGAAATGCATACACAAATTTGTAACTATGTATTATAAAGCTTTAATAACAACAATAAGTAAATTAAGTGAACTAAAAAAATATAGTAATATTAACCATTTATAAATTGTTTATATGGTTAATGTACTATATTTTCTTAGTTCACTTAATCTAGTATTCTTATTAGAATTTAATAATATGTATATAGTTGAGGCGCTATTTCACTACAAATTTATAGTTACTGATACGACTTTTTTCTCTGAGTGAATAAATTCCGTTTTCTTTCTATTAAAATAGCGTAACTTTTTAAACATATAAAGGAAAAGAAGTGACTTATATTTCCAGTTGCTTTATATGTGACATGGCTTTTCTACTCAACGACACCAATCATCATTAGCGGAATCTGTACGATTTTCAAAATTAGATTTGAATTTTTATTGGATTTTTATATAAACCACCTATATTCTTTTTATTTCAATATCATGACTTTTGAAACAAATTGAAACAATATGAAGAACGGTAATCATGCAGTATAAGGGACCATCCTCCAATGACCTTGACCTTGACATATGTTGTCTCACAAGTTGAACAACAATGTTGAACAACTAGCGACAGCTAAAATTTGTTCAAGATCACTCGGGGTCATGACCTTGACAACATATCTCAAGGTCAAGGTCATTGGAGGATGGTTCCTTATACTGCATAATTACAAAAAAAAACTTATTTCAGTCGGTCTTTATGCGATGTGGCTTTTCTATACTACTTCACCGATCATTATTAGCGGGATATACACGCTTTTGTTGACAAATGAAACATACTCGGCCAGGTTTCTATATCGCCTAGAACATGTTCTTGACATAGACAAATACTTCAAACTGTTGATGCTTCATGGATTTATCAGCGTATTCTACATAGTTTCTGTGCCGATAGCCGTCGACACAACGTTCACTCTTTGTATTCAGCATATTTGTGCATTGTTCGAATGCTTACGGTGAGTTGCCCTCGCGAAGAAAGCTGCATCAAGATCTCTTTCACAAAATTACAATATTATAATTTTTAAGCTATAACATAGAGCGCATACGAGGCTCGGATTTTGCATTACTCGAATTAAATATAAAGGATGATGAAGCATATCGTAACATAATTGGCTGCATCAAATCATACCAACATGCCTTAAAGTTAGTATTAACGTAGTTTGTGTGTGTGACTACATTTGGAACATAAGAAGAAGAGAGAAGTAACATATTTTAATGATTTTTACCGCTTCAGCGTGTTATAAAAACGAATCGAATTAGGCTTTTTAAATGATATGTAATAAGTATGGAAATTTTACGAAGTATCAGTTAGAATTGTTTATAGTATAACAACATTGAACGTTATAGTATAACAATATGATCTAATTGTGGTCGAAACGTCTGTTTTAATGTATATTATTTTGTAAGGATTAATAAATATTAGCAACTAACAATCAGCTTTTACTCTTAATTCTTGATATCTTTTAAATTATTCTATTCAATTGAGATTTATGTATTAATCTTGATAAATAGACTAAATTATTTCATTATTTTACATGTAGATTTTCTGATGTGCTTTCATCTAACTATGCAACATCATTTCTCTTTCTATTGGGCAATGTAATTGTATCCTTGAGTTTCGGCGCGGCTGAGGTAAACATTTGAAATATATATAGAGGGTAGTTTGATAAGTAGCTTGTGGCTTTGGTCCACTTGACGCTACAAACGCTTCGAAGCGTTTGAGCAATCAATCAAAACAAAGAATTTTACGAATTGACTAATCAAAGAATGCTTCGAAGCGTTTGTAGCGTCAAGTAGACCGCAAACCTGTTTTATATACTAATAGAGAGCGACAGCAGCATCTGTATATACCATCGTGTACTACCATTTTTCACACGACGTCGTACAAAATTTCAGAGTGATTCATGCGATAGTTTTGATTTGACAGCAATTCATAGTGAGCGTATTTGATGTTTTTCGATACGAGGGCAAATCAATAAGTACCTGTGTTAGTAATGAAGACGCAAGTTTTTCACAAAATTCTTTTTTATTTTTCACCGTAATCTCTTTTTAGGAGGATACACTTTTCTCAACGGCCCTGCCATTTTTTTAACCCCTCAGAAAAATTGATATTGCTCTTTTTTCATTGTATCGTAAAACACCAAAACACGCTCACTACGAATTACTGTTAAATCAAAACTATCGCATGAAACACTCTGAAATTTTGGCGTCGTTTGAAAGATGGTAGTATACGATGGTATATACAGATGTCGCTGTCGCTCTCTATTAGTATACAAAACAAGTTACTTATCAAATTACCCTCGTATATGGAAGCTTTAAATGATAATTGCTTTTTTATTTGAAAACGTCTAATAAAATTGTGTAATTTTAGTTAATAATGGTAGACAATCAACTGGACGAAATTATCAGAATTCTTTCTGCTAATTTAGCGCAATTGATACATATATATTTTCTAAGTTTGATTTCTCAAAGATTGATCGATCACAGCAGCGGATTCCAAAACGTAATGTACGCAATTTAATTACATTTATTAGTCAGTAAGCAATCTAAAAAGAATATATCAAAATGCATGTGTAAAATCAGAAAAAATATATTTCAGCTGTTTTATATATTTATTTTTCGTTTTAAACAATTAAATGGTCAATGTCGTCATTTTGTATATATAGGCTAAAATTATTATATATAAACAACTAAGATTTGTTCGCATGCTGCAACATGTTCTAATATGCTCCTACCATAGTTTCTACTCACTCTATCAAGCGCGTTAAAGTGAGTAATAGTTATGGTACACGGAGAGAATTTTCTTTTAAAATTTACCCTGAAAATATGATAGTTGTGGTACAATATACAATATTTTAAAGATTTTTACCACTTCAGTAAAATTAATCAAACTTATTTTATACTTTATTGTAATTTTATCAATGAATGAGAGAGATTTACATTAAAATTCTTCGAAATACAATATTGTCCCATGACTATCATATTTCCAGGGTAAATTCTAAGAAAAAATTCTCTTCGTGTACAAGTTGTGTAGTAAGCGAGTAGCAATTATTATATACTATAAGATTATGTGAACAGAATGCTAATGTTTTACAAATCTCATGTAAGTTCAGGAAAAAAATAAAAAAAAATTCTCTCCGTGTAGGAGCATATTGGAACATGTTGGAGCATGCGACGCGAACAAACCTCTAAAGTGTAAAATGTATTAACAGTTACAACTGCGATTGGTATAAGATTTCGAGGAGATCCAAACAGCTCTTGAGATTTACTTTGTTGCGTACTACTAAGCCGTGCCAAATAATAGCTGGTAATATGTTTGTAATGTCGATGGAGTCTTTTAGCTTGGTACGTGTAAACGTAACATTTACTTATTTCGGTAATTATTTAAAATACAATATTGTAATGTTATTTTCAGATCTTAAAAGTATCTTTATCATACTGCACGATGCTTACGTCATTACAATAAATATCGTAAGATGAAGGTTGACTGAAGTTTTATAATGGAATTATAAATATATAGCCTCTGGTATATCAATATCATTATTATCCTCGTATATTAACTATTTAATTTACTGTATCAAATATATAAGGTGTTTGTAATGAAAAATCTTTCGCATAGAGGCAGAATGAACTAAACTAAGAAGAAAAATCCTTTACCATTTTACAATTTTCGCAATAGTTAACACGATATTAATTACTAAAAATTATCGAAAATTGGTCTTCAATAATTTTTTACTCAAATACTATTAACTTTACAGAAAAACTGTAAGAGACAAAAATAGTTTATTTTCTTCTCATAAGGTTCTGAAAATTTTTTCAGAATTTTTTAATACCGTATTTTTTCATGTTGGTAAAAATAAGAAAATGCAATACTAAAAAGTTGATAAAAAATTCTGAAAAAATTCTTTGAGTTTTATGAGAAGAAAATAAACAATTTTTGTCTCTTTCAGTTTTTCTGTAAAGTTGATAGTATTTGAGTAAAAAATTATTGAAGACCAATTTTCGACAATTTTTAGTAATTAATATCTTGTTAACTATTGCAAAAATTGTAAAACAGTACACGACTTTTCTTCTCAGTTTAGTCCATTCTGCCCCCCTGTACGAAAGATTTTTCATTACTTTCCAAACACCCTGTATAAATTAAAACATTTTGCTAGTGCACTAATCAAAACATTTTTTAAACATTATCAATTTTGTATCGATATAGGTTCCTTTTACACACAAAATAAAATCATAATAAATAATAAATATTGACGTAAATCGTAATTTTGTTGCCACAATTATTATTTAGATATAATTATTAAATAAATAATCATTTGAAACAAATGTACAAGTTACATAGATACAATTTTTTCAAATTTGTTAATAAATTATAATATAATAAATATGGTATAATTATAATATAATATAATGATGTGTCTCCCGCCTCAAAAACTAGATTAAAAAAGTTTGAACAAAAAAACAACTATATATAATATTTAAGTAAATTGTACATTTGAATAAAATAAAAAAATAATTATTATTAAAAATAAAGTTTATTGAAAAATTAAATAGAAATTATGTACATATGTTTAGCGTGGATATCTGTACATAAATTGACTAAAAATTATTATGGTCCTAATTCATTCTTTCTTTAATTTGTTGAAAAATTTTAATAAGTTTATTAAAAAAGTTTTAATACAAAATAATTAATACAAGAATTAAAATTTATTTTTAAAAAGTGGAAAATATATATGTATGTACTGCGTATGTCTGTATATACTTATAGTTTATTCTTATTTAATATAATTCATTCTTTCTTCAATCTGTTAACATTGTAATATCATCAGTTGACAGATCATTGCCTACATCATTCAGTTGTATTCGTGGCGACAAGTGACACAAGTAAATAACAGACCGTATACAGTTACAAATATTATATAAAATAATAAAAGTGAAAAGATTATTTAAAATTATTCAAAGTTTGTTGGTAATTTACGATTTACATAACACTGTATAATAGTATCTTGAAAAATATATATTTTAGAACTGTGAACAATATCCTTTTTTAAAAACAGCGCTTTTAAATAAACTCGATAAAATTAATTCCTGTAATATACTGACTGGATCTTTTGGTTTAAATAAAATAAGACAGTTTCATTTTTGTGATTTTGCAGTTTGCTTGCAGATTACTACCATTTATCTTACAGTTTTAAGAACTTTGCTCGATTTATAAAGCGACGGATATACAATGTACAGTCGTAGTTATAAACCTTTTCAATCACAAAAAGAGTCGTCCATTGAGAGAGAGATTCATAAATATGTGATTAGGGTATACTACGGAATATATCTCATTGTTTTGTCGTAGCGTTGCTTTTCTTTTTGAAAATATTTTCAAAAGAATACGGAAATACTATTTCAAGAATATATACTCTGCGACAAACGTGAATACTCGACAAAATATCTGATCATTTCTGAACAATAATATTTTGGTTTCTCAGTACTGCAATATGTCTTTCTTTGACAATCACAACTATTACCTCAACAAAAGATTTATGATCATAATCGGCCAATGGCCATTTCAATCGCGACTGGAGGGTAACGTGCTGTTCGCCGTAGCATGTTTGTTCATTCTCAGTTTGATAGCCTTTGAGGTGTTTGAAGAAATATAATATAAAGAAAGGGTACGTTAGAATCGATGTACGTTTGATAATACGTTTCTCATTTTCAACAGATTTGGGGCTTAGTAGCTGGGATAACGGATCTAAACATTATCATGGAAAACGCTTCGCCCTTACTGGTAGATTGTTTCATGATGCTGAAGCTCATTAATTGTGCGTTTACTAATAACAAAGTTTGTATTCTTACGTTTTGCCGTGTACAGTTAATCGGATCGTTATGTGATTATACACCGAATTATTTTTTCGAGCTACATAGATTAAAGAGCTTCTAAAGGCCGTTGAAGAAACGTGGAAGATAAAACATACGGGTCCGGAGAAAGAGATATTACAGCATTACGCGGAGAAAAGCAAAATCTTCGCCATACGATACGCAAGTAAGTTGTCTTTATTGTACAATACACGCATAATTTACTCATTTCTTTCTTTCGGATAAATACTGCACATCTGGTAAGAAATGAAAGATTGATATTATCTTTTTACTCCCTCTTTTGATCCGTTCTTATTACATTATTATTATTATTATTACCCAAAATTTCTTTTTCTTTTTTTTAAATATCTTCAAAAGTACAATATATAAGTTGGAATATTTTTATTTTCTGTTCTAAAAATACTAGCTTATCTTTTTGTACATACATACATATATACATGTTAAATAAACTCCATTCTTTTTCTGTAAAAATATTACGACTTTTTGAGCAATGTAAAGGAGAAGTAACATTCCAGTTGTCTTTTACGCTGCGTGGCTGTTCTACACTCTGACATCGGTCGTCATTAGCGGGGTGTATAAGATTTTACCGACGAACAAAACGTATGAGGCTAGATATCTATATCGATTGGAACATGTTCTTGATATGGACAAATATTTCAACCTAATGATGCTTCATGGATTTATCAGCGTATTCTACATAGTTTCTGTGCCGATAGCCGTCGACACAACGTTCACTCTTTGTATTCAGCATATTTGTGCATTGTTCGAATGCTTACGGTGAGTTGCCCTCGCGAAAAAGGCTGCATCAAGATCTCTTTCAAAAAATTACAATATTATAATTTTTAAGCAGCTATAACATAGAGCGCATACAACGCTCGGATTTTGTTTTACTTCAGCCAAATATTGAGGATGATGAAGCATATCGTCACATAATTGACTGCATCAAATCCTACAAACATATTTTAAAGTTAGTATTAATGTAGGCTTTAATGTCCGTATTTTATATATATATGTATATACATATAAATACATATGTACATATACGAAGACATGTAAGTATTTTAGAAATATTTTGTGAGGTGTGTGTGTGTGTATGTGTGTGTGTGTGTGCACGCATATTATGCCCGCGCACATTTTGCACAGTATGATAGAACTGACAAAATATTTGTAAAATACCTAATTTCTTAATTCATGTCAATTTAAATGTGTGAATTTTATGTTAAATTTTGTATTAAATTTAATCACTTACAGATTATATTACATTTTGTTAAATAAACTAAATTATTTATATTTAATTATTTTACATGTAGACTTTCCGATGTGTTGTCATCTAGCTACTCAATAGCATTTCTCTTTCTATTGGGAAATGTAATTATATCCTTAAGCTTCGGTTCGGCTGAGGTAAACTTTCAAGATACATATATGATAGCCTCAAATGTGTGTGATAATTGGTTTTTTATTTGAAAAATGCCTAATAAAGTTATGTAATTTAAGCTGATATTAGTAGACAAGCAACCGGACGAAATTATCAGAGTTCTCTCTGGTAATTTAATACAAATGCTACACATATATTTGCTGAGTTTGATTTCGCAAAAACTGATTGATCACAGCAGCGGACTTCAAAATGTAATGTACGCAATTCGATTACATTTGTTAGCAAATAATATTTAAATAACTTAAAAAATATAGATATTAAATATGAAAAAGATATGTAAAATAAAAAAAAAATTTATTTTAGTTGTTTTACACAATTTAATGGTTAATGTTGTCGTTTGGTAGGCTAACAAAAATTATATAAAAAATTAATGTGTTGAAAACATTAATAGTTACAGCTGCGACTGGTATAAGATTTCAATGAGATCAAAAGATCTTTTGAGATTTACATTACTGCGTACTACTAAGCCGTGCCAAATAAAAGCTGGTAAGCTGTTCGTAATGTCGATGGAAAACTTTAGTTCGGTATGTGCAAACGTAATATTATTTCGTTGATTATTTAAATTATTTAAAATACAACATTATTGTGATATTATTTTTAGGTTGCACAAGTATCCTTATCATACTTTATGATGCTTATATCACTACGATAAAAATCGTAACTGGATGTTGATAAAAGAATTATAAATGTTTAGCTTTTTTACGATTATATCAATATCATTTAATATTCTAGTACGTAGTATCATATGCTATACCAAATCTTATATTAACTATATGAGACATATAAGTTCAGACATTTTCTATCCCACTAATAAAAACATATTTTTAAAGAATTTATCAATTTTGCACAGATATAGTTTAATTACTTCTTTTACATGAAATACAGTCGTAATAAAATAAGTAATAAATATAGATGTAAATTGTCATTTTGTTGTCACAATGTTAATCCGATAATAAACGTAATCATTAACTAATAATTATTTAAAACAAATGTGCAAGTTATATGAACACAATTTTTTCATATTTATTAATAAAGTGAACAGCCTTATTTTCAGCAAAGAAAATTACCAACAGTTGCAAAATAAATATTCTGCTGAGTCATTGCGACTTATCACAGTCACTCACGGTGGCAATATCTGAAGTTTCTTCTGGACCAAATAATCAGCAGAACCTTAGGATATTTCCAGAAAATTATCGAATTGCATTTTATATTGGATAATTTTTCTTGTGCAGCTATGCAAGTTTGTCTGCAGGATAAACCCTTACTCTACGATTGCAAAAGTCGGAAATCCAAAGAAAAGAAAAAGAAAAGTTTGTGTTGTTTAAGTGCTTAAAAATGTTTATACTTTAAATGAGATGGATATCCAGTAAATACAATGTTAGATGTAACGTACTTTTTAGTTGCAATGTCAGTTCAACAAGATAACTGTAATATAACATACTGTGTATATATGTCTTGTCTAGGTTTTTTTTTTGAACGCCTCTATAGAGAGCCAAAAATCTTGTTCTACAAAATTTGGGACAATTGGTCATTTTAACTGGGAGTTTCTGTATATCATTGTTTTTTTAATCTTAATCATTTAATATAATAATAAATGCATGCATTCAAACATTTTTCTAGTGTATCAAACTCACAAGAAGCTCTTAAATAAGATTCTAATTTTTTGTTTATATTACATCTTTTTTATAAAACGCGATTTTAATATAATTAATGTAAATAAAAATATATAACCATTTTATCATCATAGTTATTAATTAAGCAATTATAATTATTAGATATCTAATATATACATACCTATGTATAATCGTATAGAAAAATCATATAAAATAAATTGTACAAGATAAATAAATGCACATAATTTTGCAAGTTTGTTTACTAGATTGTACAATATACATTTATTTTTTGTGTTCAGCTCAGTTTTTAAAAGCTAATTTAGAAAATGCTAACAACAATAAAATAGCTTTGATAAAAGTTCATATCATCTGTTGGTATACATCGAATCATTTATCTAAGTGGATAAGGTACAATTTACCATATTTACAGTTAGGTACATTAGGAAAATAGAAATAAAAAAATTCGTAAGGTCTTTAAAATTTGTGGTCTACATAAACTATAAACTTTAAATAATACACAATTTTCTTGATTTTTTTCTTAGATTTTTGACGGACGAATAACATGTATTTGCAGGAACTTATTTCAGAAAATAACTTTTGAAAGACACATTTATAATAATTTGTTCTAATAACTTGACAACATATTATGAGAAAAAAAGAACATTTTCTAATGTTTGAAAAAATACATTTTAAAAATACACACACACAAAATACACACTAATACATTTTCTATCTCAACTTACAAAAGAGTTAATCCAGCTTACTAGAATCATTCTGCATATTTAATTGATTAAATTACATGTAAAAATACTATACGTCGTAAAATTAATTCCTCGGACATCGATTAGTTTCAGACAAGTGTCAATCAAGCAAGAAAAGTAAATTGTTTCATTGTTGATCATGAATCACATGTTTCGTACTAGTCTTTATCTTATAGTTTTACTTGATTTATAACGCAAAGGGTATAGAATGTCTGTCGCAGATATATTTCATCGCAACAAAGGGTTTCGTTAAGAAAAATATGACTCATTACTTATAAATATGTAATGCATTGTTATGCGAAATTGTGGAATATTATCTGAGCGTTTTTTCACGTTGTACTCCGTTTCTTTTAGAAACCAACCGTTTCCAAGGGAATACGGAATAAGCTCTGCGATTAGGTGTGAATATTCGACGAGATATGTGATTGTCTCGTAGAGTATTCCTTTACGGCTTGCTATAACAAAATGTCTTTGTACGATAATCACTTTTATCATTTCAACAAAACGTCCCTATGCATTATCGGCCAATGGCCGTTTCAATCGCGATTGAAGAATAACGTGATGTTCGCCTTTACGGCGTTTTTCATTCTCAGTTTGGCGACCTTAGAGGTGGTTAAAGATATATACGACAGCAAACGTTAGAATCGAAACTGATGGTCTATTTTTCATTTTCTGCAGCTTTGGGGTTTGATAGCTGGAATAGCAGATTTGAGCATCATTATGGAGAATACTTCGCCGTTTTTAGTGTGTACTTTCATCATTACGAAATTAATCAACTGTTTCAGTAATAATTATAAAGTTCGTACGTTATGGTTTTGATTCGTATCAAGTTAATCAGCTTGTTTTTTTTTTATAATTGTAATCCGCACAATTTCTTCGAGCTGCAGATGAAAGAGCTTCTAGAACATGTTGAAGAGACTTGGAAAGTAATACACGAGGGACCAGAGAATAAAATATTACTGTATTATGCGGAGAAAAACAAAATCTTTACAATACGATACGCAAGTGAGTTGTCTTTATTTTATAACAATAAAAAATTTGTATCATAGTTTTAACTCTCCATCTGCAATCATATTTTTATTCCCTTCGTCCCGTTCAAGTTCTTTTACTCTTCTAGACTTTCAAAAAATAAGGACAAATTTAGGATTACTTCTCTATTACAAATTACCAAATTTTTAACAATATATTTTAGAAAAGGAACCTGAACTTAATTGCCTTCCTTTTCGAATAAATTTGAGAGTGAAATTTCACTTGTGTCAAGAAAGACTCAGATTGCAAACGGAAAGTTATAATATAAAAAGATCTAGCAGCAGGTATATAAAAAAATCATTGCTTCTTCATGTCACTTTGAATCTATCCTTAGCAAATTATTTTTTAATCCAAATTACCTCATCCTTCTTTATTCTTTTTTTCCTTTTTCTTCAAACTATTATATGAAGAGTTTTTAACAGATTAAAAAATATTTGGTATTTTTGTTTTCAAAATTAGATTTGAATTTTCATTGGATTTTTATATAAACCACCATATATACTTTTTAGTTTAATATCATCACTTTTGAAACAATATGAAGAAAAAAATAACTTATTTCAGTCGGTCTTTATGCGATGTGGCTTTTCTATACTACTCCACCGATCATTATTAGCGAGATATACACGCTTTTACCGACGAACGAAACATACTCGGCCAGGTTACTATATCATCTGGAACATGTTCTTAACATGGAGAAATATTTCAACCTGTTGATGCTTCACGGATTTATCAGTGTATTCTACATAGTCTCTGTGCCGATAGCTGTCGACAGTCTGTTCACACTCTGCATTCAGCATGTTTGCGCGTTGTTCAGATGTATAAAGTAAGTCGTTTAAGGGTACAAAACGGTAGTTTTGAAAGAATCTTTAAACACGACTATATTTCGAACAAAAATTATACTTTTACAATTACTTTTTATCAAATAGATATAATATAGACCAAATACGAAGCTCAGAGTTTACGTTGCTCAATCCAGACACTGCAGATGATAAAGCATACCATGGCATAATCAACTGCATCAAATTGTACAAACGTATCGTAAAGTAAATCAAATTCTTTTAGATATTTGTGCAAAAATGAAAATTATATAAAATATTAAATATTCATAAAATATATAATATGACGAAATATTTTTACGTAACTTTTTCAATTGTATATCACGTAAAATAATTTTATATTGAATTTTATATAGTTTAATTAATTATTTTACACTGAGAAAAAAATAGCCTAAATTTGAATAAATATTTATTTGAATACTGCCAACTAAATATTTACTTACAATAAATAAATATTTATTTAATAAAAAGAAGTGATTATTAAATCAAATTAATTTAGTTTTTTGTACCAAATAAATATATTTTTACATTTAATAAATATTTAGTTGGTATTATTCAAATAAATATTTATTGAGAGAAATTTAGGATATTTTTTTCTCAGTGTAGACTTATTTAAATAGTATAATAATATTTGTTTCATTATTTTACGCAAAGGTTTTGTGATTTGCTTTCATCTACTTTCGCAACGTCTTTCCTAATTATGTTGGGAAATGTAGTTATTTGCTTGAGCTTTGGCATGGCGGAGGTAAATATTTCTCTGAAATGTTTAAATAATATAATTGCATTGTTTAGAAAATATCTAATAAAATATATTATTTAAGTTGGTAATGGTGGACAATAAATTTGACGAAATTATCAGAATTTTCGCTGCTAATGCAGCACAATTGCTACACTTATATTATCTATGTTTAACGTCTCAACGATTGATCGATTACAGCAACGAACTCCAAAATGTGATGTACGCATTTGTTTGGCAACGACGTTTAAACAATTTTTGAACTACTAATTTTTAAAAGACTTACATATATTAAATTGAAAAGAAGATGTGTAAGATTAAATAGTTCTGGCAATAATGTATTTCATGATTTGTATGTCTTATATGTATTCAATATTTGAAACGATTTTTAAAAGTCAATGCCACATTTGGTAAACAAATGGGAAGTGTATAAAAAAAATTAATGTATCCAATTCATTATCAGTTATAGCTGCAACTGGTACACGATTTCATTGAGATCTAGACATCTCCTGAGATTCACATTAATGCGTGCAACTAAACCGTGCCAAATAAAAGCTGGTAATATGTTTGTAATGTCATTGGAGACTTTTAGCGGGGTATGTACGAAAACGAAATATTACTTTGATGGTAGATCGACCAAACAAAACACCTTTGTGATATTATTTTCAGCTTTTAAAAATGACCATGTCTTATTTCACAATGCTCACGTCAGTCCAGTAACAGTATAATGGTTCGCGTATAATGGTTTACGTTGAAAGAATTAAAACCATAAATAAATAAACTAACAATTATTATACGTGTGATATGATAATTGCTATCTTATTTATTTAACATATCAAACATAACAATTAAAGCATTTTTCTTGTGCACTAATCGAATGTGTTTTTAAAAAACCTTTTTAATATTGTATGAGAGTTACTACTTCTTTATACAAAATTATTTATATATGTAATAAATGATAAATATAAATATACATATGTATCATTATATTGTATTTAGAATTATTAATAATTTCGTCAAACTTATTGAGTTAAATGAATATATTATATAATGTTGATACTTATTTTTTAAAAATAACTAGGAAACTATTAACCATCAAGAACTAAGTAAAATATTCTAGCGCTAAAAAACAATATACTTTCATATTAAAATTATATATTATATACTTATATTGTTTAATTGTATCATGTTTATCTTTATTCATTCAGCTGAATGATGTATGTATTATATATTTAGAGAAAGGCACGTCAAACTGTTTATCAAGGTAAGAAAGATATACGGGGATGTGGATCTTACAATCCTTTTTACAACAAAATTTTTAATTTAAAAAAAAGGCTTTTTTATTTTGCTTCAAAATTTTGTTATTATTATTATTGTAATTATTATTCTACATATTCTAACCCAAAATCTCTTCTCATAGCACCTATGATGTCTCTCGCAAGCCCATTAGCTAGCAAATATTTTAGATTAAAAACTACACCTTTATCTATAGCACCATATATGTAATACTCCTATATTGCTAATGCAGTCTCTTTTTGGAAGTGGGGTGTGTGCAAAGATAGCGAGATAGTGAATGTCGGATCTCTCACTTCCATAATGTATTCGAGTGTGGTGCGCATGCGTTGTATCTAAGTCAGAGGTAGATATTCGTCTACACCGTGATGTTTTCGCCAGCTTTTAATTGGCGTTAGCAATATAGGAGTATTACGTATATGATTGGCACTGAAAACTTATATTCCTTCTTATCTTTAGTCAACTGCCTTTCATTAAAGTTAAAAGGAAAAAACTTTGTAAAAGACATATTAGCATCACTTTCACTCCCACAAAATGTTTCTACTGCTTTCCTTCATATTGTGCAAGTATTCCATGCATTGACCATCACCTTTATCAAATGAGATTAACAATACGATCATCTGCCTTGTTACAAAAAGTTTGATCTGTGCTTTGTACGGTAAGATTAGCAACCTCATTATGATAAAGACCGATAAAGTTCAACTATAGGATTTCAATGCTTTCGTTCATACTAATACGGCAAGTTAGTATGAACGAAAGCATTGAAATCCTATGATTGAACTTTATCGGCACCGGCATAAGTTAACGGTTACGGCCATTATAAATCAGATTTTCTTCTTCTAAATTTATACAAACGCGTATTGTATGTACACGATAGAAATTACCGGTTCCCCATGAGGCGTAGGTTACGAAAACCAATCGTAAATTCGTTTAGCATTTCTGTTAGAGTGTACAACAGAAATTCTAATCAGCAATTGGTTGCATTAGTTCCGCATTTCTCTAATCTTCCGCGAAATATGCCCAATGTGAATGCTGGCTTTCAGAATGACGTATTCTAGTAAATAAAAAATAACGCGTATTCTAGTAAATACTTTTTTCTCTTTCACAGATTCGAAAATCCTTTTCCAGGATTAAATTATACACATTAATACGTGTTTGTGAGGTGGAGTTTATGCCGAGAACGATATAAAATTTTTCTTAAGATTTCAATTTCGAAATTTTTTATCGTTCTCGGCATAAATTCCACCTCACAAACACGTATTAATGTGTATACTTTAATCCTGGAAAAGGATTTTCGAATCTGTGAACGAGAAAAAAGTATTTGTTATACAAAAATTACGATTTAGTCGGTAATACAGATGGCTTTAGGATCCCCTTAAATGTGACGGACGACATTCAACGGAGTGCAGGTTTGTGAATTACCATAAATTACAGTGCAATAGGATACCAAATTGTTTTGGATCAAGATATACATTCACTAAGAATTCTAAAATAACGAATTAAGAATGTATTAAAATTTACAAACTTTATCATAAAAGATGTATTGCAGTAAATTTCAATTTTTTAAACGCTGATCGTTTATTTGAGATAAAATCATTCTGTTGTTCTATTTTGTCTTAATTACCTTGAAAAATGCATCTAGTCAAACGAATTATTAGTTTCATTTATTCCTAATTAGGTAGTCAACAGCCATAATCAACCCGTGGAAGCATTCAGATTCTTAATGACGAGCGTATGTTTGGCAATGCACTTTCTCTTCCTTAAAATTACGATAAAAATTGATAGAGATTACAGCCCCAACATGCACGAATCCATGTAAGTGTGCATATTCTTGCGTAAGTATACATGTTCTTTTACATTTGTAATATATTCTCTGAAAAGGAATCAATTTATTGTTACTGAGAAGCAATGCAGACTACCAGCCAGCAGCAATTATAAGTACACAGAAAAAATGATATATTGATAGCATCAGTTTAATTGAAAATAATCTTGTTAATTCAATATATCATACTTTTGTTTCAATAAAACAAGTATTTGTTTCGTTAATATTGATGTTGTATTAATAAAATTATTTCCAATTAAATCTATAATGCTGTTAATCTACTAATTAATCTACTAATTAATGAAATATATAACAGAAGAGCAAAGTGCAAGTGTTTGCAATGAAAATGAATGAAATACTCTGGTAAAAAATTTATCTTTAAAGATTGTTTTAAGATGTCTCATAATATGTCTTAAAGCAATCTTTATGTCCATATTTTGAACGTAATATTATCTAGGTAATCATTTATAATGCATTCCAGTTTCATTCAAATGTTCATCAATAAAAATTATTTTTAAAAAATTAAATCGGTTATAAAAGAGTTAAGTATTAGTATTTTATGCAAAACAACGCATAAAATTAATATACTTATTAATAACGTATTAATATATAATAGGAATGATGCATAATATAATTGTATGCAATAGCCATCCGTGTGTGAATAAACTGTTTTCAGATCGCGCAGCGTCTTATACATATTCACTTCTACTAACTTCTGTGCAATGATCACTATCCTTATACTAACAACATGGCTATTATATTTTACGAAGCGCCTACACATTATCACATACTTCGATATTAACTTATCTACCGCAGATAATTTTGATTATAAAAACTAATTCATAAAATTAGCCTTATAGAATATCGCAAATCAATGATAATGTTGTGTGTATATACGTTATTGCACATTATACATAAAAGTGACGATGCGTCTATACTGTTAATTACTTTTCAACTCAATTTTCCCGTTAAACATTAATCTTTTTCTCTAAAAAATTCTAATCTGCACGATATTATGTGTTCTTACATGTACAATAGACGATAAATGTAAACTTCTGAATTAAAAAATTATTTGTGACTGTGTTGACATACATTCGTTCTTGATATTTTCAGTTCATTTTTTTCTACTATGTATGGTTTATATTAATTATTTTGTTTAATAATAATTATGTTAATCACGATAATTATATTAATCACGACATAATTTATTCTTAAATTACGATTATAAAAAAGGGTACCTACTACCTTTACGCGCATTAAATATGTTAACGGTATAAAATAACATTTTTGCTATATATTTGTAAACCAAACTGTTTTGAAAGAACTGCCAAGAAATATTTTCAAGTCATTGTCTATTACCGACTTCTACGAACAAAAATATGATTCGAAGAAACATGTGGTAGACACGATATTATTCGTGATGTGTGTTAAATTTACAATATTCCGATATTGACCAAGTTCTTATTACAAGGTATAAGACAACTATAAGATGCATCAATATAAAATCAATCATAAAAACGGATCTTTCTAGGATAAGTGTTTGATCGTCTAAGCCTTTCATCATTCTAGTGGAATAATCAGTCATGTAAATATCGGCAATTTCTCGTAACTCACCTATTACGTTCTCTCTCTTTCTAAGAGAATTTTTTATTAGACTGAAAATTGTAAGATGCGATATCGATGGTGCAGTAGTCCAAACCGAGTGTTGAAGATGGATACGTCGAACGATATCTTTCAGTCCCGATTATATAGAATCAATCGTATACTACTTTCGTTGCTAGGACAATGGCCATTCCAAAAAAATAGACACAGGCAGATTATTTTTTTAATAATATCGCTTATTGGTGTAACGCAAGCCATCGCCCAGGTACATTTTCTACATTGCGGTTCTTATAATTAATCATCTACCAACCCATCTCTGTTCTTGGGAAGATTTTTTTCTTCTTATAATGATATCAAAGATTAACACTTTAAAAATGAGAAATATAAATATTAAAGATATATAAATATTAGAAAGTTAAAAATGTTCGAAGATATATAAATATTAGAAAGTTAAAAATGTTCGAAATTATCAGTAAAATTATAGGTAAATCGACTGTATGTCTTTATATTTTTGAGAAACATATAGGTAACTCCGGCAAATACGCCGCGCTGGGATTTACGCCGCAGAAATCAGAAAAAATAGGAGGAGTTGAGGGTAATTTTCTCGCAACTCTGTTACATGCCTTTATGTTATATTAGTATTGTGTTATGATTTCAGCTTCTTACTGTTAATATTAATGAAATTATTGTGAGTTGAATCGATTTATCACTTAATAAATAGCGCCATCATAAATTATAATCTACATAAAATGATTACTGTAGGAAGTGTAAAAGACTTAGTGGTTATTTCGTGATACATACGTATAGAGGAATAGAAAAGCATGTTGTATAGCAAGATACAAGTGCTTTGCTTTCGTATTCTTTGTTTAGTTGGTTGTCTTGTATATCCCATCTATTTAGGATATTTAGCGGCATTTTTAGCGGGCGGGATTTATGCCCAAAGCATACAAAGTGCGCAGATTGAATTCAGTGCACTAAATGCAATAAACGCATTACATGAAATATATAGAGGAGACCGGGGTCAGTAAACTATAGAGGTAAGTAGAATAATCGAGGCTACGTCATAAACAAATCGCGCGAGATATGCGTAAACCCGTCTGAGCACGCAGCAGCAACTGCCGCTCAGTCTCTCTCTGCTGTAACATCTCGTTACTAACACATCTAGAAGTTACGCTACAATTTAAAAAAATCGTACATCTAAGTAAACATTTTTATTCTTAAAGTTTTTATTTTATAATCGTATATAATTGTCTGAGATATTTTCATTTAGATAATAAGCGTAGTTCTTACTTAATAAAGTCCAACAGATTTTTTTTTGTTTATCTGTCTTTGTTATCGTGTTAATGTTTTTAAAAAATGAATGAATAGCGCTAATAGGTTAACCACAATACGGGGCTATATGACTAATTTAGTGACGACTTTGACAGTATCTACTCCCAAACTTCTTGAAATGAAATCTCACTCTAAAAGAGTGAAAATACAGTCAATTTTGAAAAAGAGTGAAAATTTTTCACTTCTTGGAAAAGAGTGGCAATATTTCATTCCTTTAAAGAGATTTACCTCAGTGGTAAATGTTATAAGTTTAGTTCCCTCACATCCTCGATGAAACTAGGCTCATTCGACGTATTTTTGTACGAAAAGAACGAATTTAGCAAAAAGAAGCATTGTTCTGCCTTGTGAATCGAAATATTAATCGTTAAAGTTTGTTAAGTTAGAAAATCTGTCATTCACTACGCCCTGATAAAAAAAGTTGATAGAAAACGATAGAAAAATCCTATCGTTTTCAATATGAAATTTGGTTCGTAAATTCACTAATTTGAATCAGATCTTATAGGAATCTTGTATAAATCTTACAAAATCCGATAAAATACGATAAGATTCATATCCGATCAATCGTGATACTCGCGAGGTCAACGATAGAAAATGATATAAACTTATAGAAAACGATACAAATTGATAGAAATCTTATCGTTCTCAATCATTCTCTATCAACTTTTTATAATAATAGTTAAATTACATGTATAAGAAATTTTTCATGCATTAATATGTATAAATATGTATAAACATACATAATATGATAAATTATATACATTTAT